TGTAAACACCAGGTCAAATTTGTCCTTTTTCCTTTTTTGTGGCTTGTACTTCTAGTTCCAGATCCGAGAAAACTTTTCCTAGCCCAAGGTCGCAAACATTTTCCCCTATGTTCTCTTCTAAAAGATCTATCCTTCCATTCATTTCAAAACAGTTTAAATCATGTAGCACAGTAAAATAACTGCTTTAAAATCATCATTTTAAGGTTGCAACTGTCTTTTGCCTGAAAATTGGTTACATTTCCCTGGCACAGTGGACCCTCATGTTATGACCGCCCTGACATAGGGACAACTTGAGTTAATTAAGTTAATGGAAGATTCATCTGCCTCTTGTTATCTTTAGCATGTACCCAGATAAACATCCAGATTTCAGCTGTACTCACTTAGGTACAACCAACCCTCGGGATCCAATCCAGTTCGTTAGGTTCATTACCATGAAAATTTTTAATGATATCTGAATATTAATTTGTTTAGACTCGGTCCTGTTAAAGATAGTTCTGAACAGATAAAAAATATAGTAGTTTACTAGTACATGTAAACAGCTGTTCTCAGGAAATGCTCATTACAAATAAAGCCAAATACTGGACCACTTCCCCTGGAAAGGACTGACATTTTTGTCCATTCTGTCAAGCCACCAATCTGATTAAGTCCAAATAGCAAGTTCTATGAGGATTCCAACGTTACTTCAGTTCTGCGGGCTCTTGCAACACTGCTTTGAGTACCGTGGCCCAAAGCTCAAAGTGAGCCTGTACCTTGGGACCCACCATTCACACAATAATGGAGTGGGGGGTCCTGCAGCTCTTCCCTCTCCAGGGATCTCCCAACCCTCTGTCCCAAAGATGGGGGAAAAAAACAAAAAACAGTGTCTCACTATGTAGTTCAGGCAAGCCTTGAACTTACTGTGCAGTCCACAGAGATCCTCATGGAGATCCTCCTGCCTCAGCCTCCTGAGTGCTAGGACTACAGGTGCGTGCCACCATGCCCAGCCTTAGACAGGATTTCTTGGGCACTTCCACCTGCCCACGTCACCTGGGATAGGGGGTGGCTTCAGAGGGCCTCACTCAGAAGACAAGGCAAAGAACACAGAAAAGTAAAATGAAGCCTTCCTTCCACATTCTGGACTGCAGGGCCCTGCCTCCGGATTCCCCTTCAGCACAGAATTTCTAAGCCTTGGACCCTGGCTCTCCAAGACCTCTGCCCCAGTGATCCAACCAAGGGGTGAGTCACTCCACAACACTCTCCAGCTTACACTTCCCTGATTTTCTCGCCAGAAAGATGGGCTCTCTGGGACATTAGCTACCTCTAGACCATGGCTACAGCTCTGCTCGCAGCTCACCTCTGGTCCAAGGCCTGAGGGGAAGGAAAAGCAACAGCTCACTTGTGTTCTTCCCAACACAGGCTTCCACTCCTCCCAGTCTGGCCACTTTTCTTTCCTTCTATGGTCCTGAAATACCTTGTCCGCAGATTTCAGCCATGGTCAGCAGCGCTCACGAGCAGTAGTGGACTGACGGCAGCTTGGCCTCGCCTCCCCTGGCTTTAACCCCAGCTGCTAAGGGCACGCCTCTCCCAACCACCTTGGAGGAGGAGTGTTCACCTTTCACCTGCGCTCAGGCCCTGCCCTCTCCTCCTCTTCCTCCCCACCAGATTGCCAGGGTGGGAAAAACCTGGTCACTGGCTCTAATCATGCCATTAAGCGCACAGTTTTCTTTTTTTTCAGCTTTAATTGAGTTTATTGGTACATTTTAGGGATACAGTACAGTTACATTCATTGTTGGGATCTTGTACCTCTACAGGACAAGTCTTGATTCTCATTTTTTCCCTTTACCCCTGCCCTCCCTTCACCCCCTCCTCCCCTCCCCATCTAAAAGTGCACAGTTTTTATCATCCTCCTGACAAGTCGGTATTTTAGAGGAAGAGATGGAAAGAAGAAACCAGCAGACCTCTAGAACACTGGTCTGTTCTCTGCAAGCCTCTATTCCTTCAGGCCCTTTAATCAGCCAGGATTACAGAGGCAGGGGCGCAACTGACCCTCCAGTAACAGCTTGGAAATGGCTGTTCTTGGGTATGGTCATTAAGTTAAGAAGACCTATGCTAGCCAGGCATGGTGGCACACACCTGTAATCCCAGGCTGAGGCAGGAGGATCGCCCATGGGTTCAAAGCCAGCCTGGGCTACACGGTGAGTTCAAGAGCAGTCTGAACTACATAGGTAGGACCCTGTCACAGAGAGAAAGGTGGAGAGAGAGGAGAGG